CATTTTTTTCTTTAGGAAGCTCTCTCTTTTACCACCATGAATATGGAAAAACAATTAAAAACGCCTTTCACATTCATCGTTATTCATAAGCATGAACAAGACTTATTAATAATTTCTTAACGACCCAAAAACCAAGTTCTTTTTTTTTCTTTTTTTTTCTCTCTTCAAGAGTAGACCATCGTTTTTGAGATGGGGTGACTTAGAATTAAAGAAAAAGATAGTGGAAAAATCATTCCACTTCCTATTTTCTTTATTTATTACTAGGAACAACTAGGGTGGACCAGAATTTTGAGACAAGGCTCGTGCTCATGGAACGGGAACAAAAATTGTCACTCATTTTGAGTGTTTTTTTTTTCTCATTTTTTCTTTTTCCTGATTATTGACGCAAGTCATGTTACTCATAATGTTAGGTGTGAAAGTATTTTATGTATAATTTATCATAAGCTTTCAGCATAATTCCACATGCTAGCAAGTGACAATCATTTGGTGCTTTTTGGCTTCATCCTTTACTTTTTTTCTTTTGGATTTCCCCATTGTTTTTTGGCTATTTTACTAATAAGTGCCACGATCTTATTGTAGCTCTAGTTTCTTCACCTAATAGGCTCTAATTCATATTTGATATAGCCACATGGATTGTGTTAATTATCAACAATATTTTAGGGACTTCCCACTATTAGGCTATTATTTTGTAAACTTTCTTTGGAATTGTTTTTGAAGAATTAGCCCAAATAGTCCCCAACCCAATTACTTAAACTAAAAATAGCCGGTGGACGTATAATATATATATAATTTATGTATTGTATGTGTATAATTATATATAATTAATGTATAATTTATATATATGGCTAGAAAAAGTAAACAATTAATATTACCGACTATTTGTGTAAAGATCCCATTTTTTTTGGTGGGCAGGATTAAGACACATTTTTTTGGGTGTGCTTATTATGACTTCTTCACAAATTCGATTACATAAATATGACCCCGCGTATTGTTTTTTTAGAATTCCACATCTTCAAAATCCTAGATAATCGTATATTAAGGCAGAAAAAAGAAAAGAGTTGCGAAAATCAATTAAGCCAAAATAAATGATTATTTAACTCGGGCGGAGCTAGAGTGTAAAGTACGAATTCTGTCGAATTCAGTAATTTTAGTCTAAATATTTGTATTTCTCTTAAAAAAATTATTTGATATGTACAAATTATTAATTTATAACTCAGTAAATTTAAATAACAAAACATTCAAAGCAATATAAGCTTCAAAAATCTAACTATACATTTTTCGATCTCTTCAAGGGTTTAGAGGAAATTCTTCAGCGTCACAATTTTGTGACATACCTTAACACTTAAAGAATTGAAAAGCTTATATAAATAGTAGAAGCCAATGCTGGTAATGTCTCTCTGTCAATGCACAGTAGAACAAGAACTGCACAAGTTAGCCATACGAATATTTGATATTTCATTAGAAAGAAATAACATGGTTTTATTTCACTTGGAAAACTAGTATGCACTCTCATACAAATATTTTGACATGCTCATTAATTAATTGCAGTACTTACGATTTACGAACAAATTTTAAGTACACATCTATTATTTTGTCAAATAAAAAAAATATTTATTCTACAACTTCAATAATTATGCATACGTACATTAAGCGTGGAATGCACCTTGCCAGAAAAAAAAAATAGAAAAAAGAAAAGGAATACGAATATGGTTGGGTGATCGAATTAGAGTTGCAACTAATTATACAGCTGCTGCAATTCCACTCTAGACATAATCTCACTAACAACTCTCCATTTTCTTTCTTTCCCTCCCTCAAAAAATTCAAATAAATAATTAATGTTGAGACCGAAAGATAAGCAAATTTTGCATAACTGGTTAAATAATTTTACTCGTAACAAAATATGAAAGTATAGCATCACCTAAACTGATCTAATGACATGTGCTAACAAAGCAAAGAAAGTATAGTGATAAATTTTGAAAGGACTTATATCTGCTGGTTCCTGTATTATTTGTGAAATTAGATAGTGATCAAAATTGACCACATTAAGAGGCACCAAAATTTGTAGGACTAAAAGGGACATATGGCTTAATTAATCGAAACTTCGTTATCAAAACAAATCGACAAAATATAAAAATCAAGAAGAAAAAATAATGGGTAAAGGTGTATATATATGGGGCTTGGCAACTAGAAATGCTGTCGGTGTCGAAAAGAGCGTCCTACCAAAATTGGTTTGAACATTTTCCCCCTTCATTAAATTCTATCTGGATTCATATGTATCTGGTCCTGGCCTCCATAACTTAGGAGTACTTAATAGGAGTAGCATGATATGACGAGATGTTATGAATTTTTACGTTATTTAACTTGTTATAAAAGTTATGATAGTGCATTGTGTTGCTAAATAATAAAATGTGTTTATTTATGGGTAGTGCTCTCTATCAAAAAAATAATGGCATATTTTTATATTTACAAACAATTTAGTTATAAATGATGTTTGGAACTTTTACATAAATATGCTTAATATTAAACATAGTTACCACTTTTATAGAGGTTCCTTCTTACTTACATAGTATATACATAATTACCAATTATTTACAAAGTAATGTATTATACTTTAATCTTCCCCAATTTCTCTCCATTTCTTTTTCTCACGCCCCTCTCTCCTTGGAAGTTCTTTCTTTTATGCTTTGACAAGGCTTCATTCCTTCTGCTACCTTCTCAAGTGGAAAGGAAAGAAAAGACTTGCACTACCTGATATTTGTTAACGATTTTACTCCCTCTACATCAATTTGAACGCCCACAATTTGTTCTTTTAAAATTATTTCATTGATCTTTTGTACGAATCAAAGTAATATCCTTATCTTCTGCAATAATTGTAATTCCCCCATTTTTAAAAATAAAACAATTACAAAGCTTTAGACCCCCATAAAAGCTCCATTAACAATCATTAAAAAAGCTTTGAAGTTTTGAATTCAAAATTGAATTTTGTAAAATTGTTATTTGTTTAGCTTGAATGTTGTTGTAAATAATTTAAAATATTTTTTGAAGTTTATATCTCAATTTTGAGAGATTTTGGTAAATATTCAAGTTGGTTTTGGTTGGATTTTCAGATTGAATGTCGAAGAGGAAGAAGAATAATGATGTACATATAAGTTGTATGTATTATATATATCATGTGTGTGTTATTTTTATGTTCGATGTATTATCATTGGACATATAGTGACATACATACTACATACATAATACATACAATAATATAATTCTTTGCAAGTTATATGAAATTTTNATATATATATATACGAATAAATCCCTAAATTTTTCATTTACCTTAATAATATAATTTGATTTTATAGCCACATAAAGGTTATGGAATATAATAGTCCACATTTTTTTATTTTAAACTTCATGTTCAATCAAACACTATTACATGAAACGAATAAAGAAAATTTTCAGTGTCACGTGTATGTTACCCGTTTGGACATAAGAAATTTTTTTCTTTTTTCCAAATTTTTTTTACTTTTTTTCGAAATCAGCATTTGTTCATAAAATTTCTAATTTTCACTTGAAGATGCATTTTGGAAATTTTCGAAAATTTGAAAAACTCCAAAAAATTATTTTTCAAAATTTTCACTCAAATCACTCACAAAACATCAAAGACAACCCAAAATTATATTCATGACCAAATACAATTCTAAATTTCAAATACCATTTTCATTTGAAAAAAATTTCCCCCGTATTTTAGAATTTTATAATTCTTATGTCCAAACACCCGCATAGTATCTCAAAAGGGGCAAGGGGCTGTTCTCTACCGACTGAAGCCTTCGGATACCAAACTAAAAGTAAGCCCAATCCACTGACCTGACAATATAGGTAGGCAGTGACAATAAGTTGATAAACAGTGAAGCCCAATAAAACGCAATAAATATACTCCAATGTAATTGGACCTTTCACTGTATAGGAAATAATTGGCGTCAAGGAGCCCATACTCATAAATGAATTTGATACGTTTAAACAATAACAGAACAGAAATTAAATCAATTACACGTTGATCACGAACTGATAGTATTAAAGCAGTTTTATTATGCTGCAGAATACTACGTGATCAGTGGCTGAGCCAGGATTTTTATTAATGAGAATCAAAATATAAAGAAACAAACTCACCAAGAAATCAAGAGGTATTATTATATAGTATATATACATATTTTTAAAAAAATTACCGAGCTAAACAGTATAATTTTTCGATAAAGGGATATCGGTTGACACCCTTAGGTGCATGTGGCTCCACCACTGTACATGACTACACCTGGTACATCCCTTATTGTGGCAGTAGAATAGCACTAGACATTCTTGTCATCTGTATGTCGTGTCAGTAGAGTAGAATTCGACATTCCATCCACGATTCAAACTGTATGGGTTCAAGCTTCAACCTTTAATATTTTTAGCGTTGTTTTACGGTGTGCTTCACACAAGTGACATTAGTTGTGTGAAACTTCTTTTTATCTCACACATTTGTGGACACATATCTTACAAATCTGGGTCCACAAAATTTTGGGACCACAAAATTGTGAGCAAAAGAGAGGCCTCATACAACTAGTGTCAGTTGTGTGAGGCACAAAATAAAAATTTTCATATTGAACCTATTATATTCTTAAAACTATGGGTTCATATATACTACTTTTTATAATTTTATAGATTTTTATACATAAATTTATGCCCGGTAAGTTATGAGTTCAGTTTAACCCGTTACCTACGTGCTACATACGCCCCTGCAGTGGATGACCTTAAACTTGTTGAAGATTAAAAATTATACTCCTAAAAGATTAGCTCTTAAACTTGCTGTATACATCATCATATTAGATTAAATTCTGGTGGGATAAGATAATTAGAAGATATTACCGTAACAAATGTTAGTCAAACTGTGTAGATGGCCAAACGCTGCCTATATTTACATTACGTATTTTCACCAGCATTAGGAAACCATAACTACAATCAACCTAGTTTGTTCAACTTCCTTTTTCCCAATCCAAACAAAGCAATTCTCTAGACTTGAGATTCTTCCCTTATCTTCACTTTCTTGCATTTCTGTTTGATCTATTCTCAACTCCAAAAAAATGGCTTCCCCATGTACTACATATCAACCAAGCCCTGGTAGTCCTGAAGATGACTCAATGATACTTTTCTCAACTTCAACTTCATGTTCACCAGCCAAACAATCCACTAGAACTCATTCTAATTCTTCTTCTTTTCACTCGTCATCACCTCCACCACCACCACCACAATCGTCTTCAAATAACAAAACTTACGAACTAAGAGTTCGTAATCTCTCCTATACTATTTCTCCGAATTCATCGATCTTTTCTTCCTTAATCAAGAAAAGTACTAAGCCAAAAATCAGCATACTCAAATCAGTCTCTTTTGTAGCTGGATGTTCTGAGATTCTAGCAATCGTTGGACCAAGTGGAACGGGCAAGTCAACTTTGTTACGTGTGATATCAGGTAGGGTAAGGAACAAAGATTTTGATACTAAAAGTATTTATCTCAATGACCATGCAATTACTAGTCCTGTCCAATTAAGAAATATATGTGGTTATGTTGCTCAAGAGGACAATTTACTTCCTCTCTTAACTGTAAAGGAAACTTTAATGTTTAGTGCAAAATTTCGGTTAAGAGGAATGGGTCCAAAGGAGAGAGAAGAAAGAGTTGAAAGCTTAATGCAAGAACTTGGGCTTGACCATGTAGCTGATAACTTTGTTGGAGATGAAGAAAACAGAGGAATTTCAGGTGGTGAAAAAAAGAGAGTGTCAATTGGAGTTGACATGATTCACGATCCTAATATATTACTCTTAGATGAGCCAACTTCAGGATTAGATAGCAGTTCAGCACTTCAAGTTATTGAATTGCTCTCATCTATGGCAAAAACAAAACATAGAACCATAATTTTATCTATTCATCAGCCTAGTTATAGAATTCTTCAATATATTTCCAATCTCTTGATCCTTAATCATGGATCTGTTGTTCATTATGGTTCTCTTGAATCGCTCGAGGAAAATATAAGTAGAATAGGATATGAAATTCCTATTCAGCTTAACCCTCTTGAATTTGCTATGGAAATTATATCCGTGTTGGAAAACCAGAACTTACATTCCAAATATCAGTCATGTTCTTATTTGAGATGGGAGGAGGCTATAATTCAAGATGGCGCGAGTAAAGAAGTAATCGATCAGGCAAAAACTGGTGTTGTTTCGAATTCAGGTTGCTCAAGTTTATTTGAAATAGCAGTGTTATGTTCAAGATTCTGGAAAATTATTTACAGGACAAAGCAACTTTTCTTGGCACGAACGATGCAAGCTCTAGTGGGAGGATTTGGACTTGGAAGTGTGTATATTAAAATGAGGAATGATGAAGGTGGAGTTACAGAAAGATTAGGCCTTTTTGCATTTAGCCTAAGTTTTTTGCTATCTTCTACAGTTGAAGCACTTCCAATTTATCTTCAAGAAAGGCGCGTTATAATGAAGGAAGCGTCAAGAGGAGCTTATAAAATCTCTTCTTACATGATCGCGAACACGATAATCTTCCTTCCATTTCTCTTTGCAGTAGCCATTCTTTTTGCTGTCCCAGTTTATTGGATCGTAGGGCTGAATCCTTCGATTACAGCTTTCGTGTTCTTCACTTTTGTGGTTTGGGTGATAGTTTTGATGGCAAGTTCTTTGGTTTTGTTTCTCAGTGCAGTTTCTCCTGATTTTATATCAGGGAATTCTCTGATTTGCACTGTTCTTGGGGCTTTCTTTCTCTTCTCTGGCTATTTTATACCAAAGGAATGCATACCTAAATATTGGCTGTTTATGTACTATGTTTCTTTATATAGGTATCCTTTGGATGCACTACTGACAAATGAATATTGGAGTTTGAGAAGCAAATGTTTCTCTTGGAATGATGAAAATCATTCAGAATGTTTGCTGACAGGATATGATGTATTGAAGAACAGGGGACTTGACAAGGATACTAGGTGGATGAATGTTGGAATTATGTTTGCTTTCTTTGTGTTTTATAGGGTTATTTGTTGGATTATTCTTGCAAGGAAAGTGTCAAAAACAACAATTTGAAAGATTATAACAGCTGAAGATCAGAATTCAGGATGATGAAAAAGCACATTTGCTGGAGATTGAAGACCAACAAGCTCAGTGTTGAAGATTGATGACAGCCTGATTATCTCATGTTTATTCCTACATTAGATTAGCTTACTAGAGTGATATTGTACAAATCTTTTATTTATCGTGTTAAATCTAGTTGTCATGTACTAATAGCCTAAAGTCTTTATAAACCTTATTTTTTATTTATAATCCCTTCATTTCAATTTATATGAAACTCTTTTCATTTTGAGATTGTTCCAAAATATTTGATACTATTCTATTTTTATACGACTTTCGCAACTTTTAAGAATTTAAATTCATTAAACTATTTACATTTTGACTTTGATTAAATGTTTGTTTTATTTTCAACCGTTACTTTAATATCATCTTCTGTTGTCACTAATATAGCAGTTAGTACTATATAAGTCAAATTAGCGGCTTAAACTCAATATCTAGTTGAAATACCATGATATAATGGAATCGATGGAGTTGTAGATCTCAGGTTCTTAGATGGCTGACAATACGACAAGTAGCTCTAAATGGGCTGGACAACATCTATGAGATATCGTATTAAACCGTATGCAGTTCAAAGCAGCCCAATCCATACATGATTTGCCAAGACATATGCAGCATGTGTCTTACCTTTGGCCCAGCCTACCTATTTCTCACCACTATCGATGAGACCATGATAAGGTTACTAGTTAATCAGTTTCAAGTAAAGGTGTCAAACGGGCCGGGCTGGTCCGATCCCGGACTGGCCCTGATCAGTTTTAGATAGGATCGACTTGGCCCGGTGGCAAGGGGCTGGGCCGGGCCGGGTTGGGACGAGAATTGGCATGTGTCGGGTAAAATTTGAATGTCGGTTAATCGGACAGGTACAACCCGGTAAGGTCTTATCACTCGTGAACCGGTTAATCGGACCGGTTCAACGGTTAGTCCAATTTTCTTTTTAATAATCTTGACCGTTGGCAACGGTCAGCTGCCATTTTGACCGTTGTCCAACGGCTAATTTGCAAGAATAGCCCTTTTTGGGTATTTTTTTTCAAAAATAACACTTTTATTATTTACTAATTTAGCCCTTTGAAAAAACTATAAATAGACTCCTCCTCTTCTTCATTTCTTCACTCATCTCTCAATTCTCAAACTCAAATTATCAATTCAAGTTAAATCATATCCTGTGCTTCTAGAGTGCGCTCATATGTTTGGAAACACTTTGAGCTGGTAGAAGAAAATGAAGAAGTTCGCAAAGTAGAGTGCAAGAACTGTGTTCGAGTCTTAAATGTTCGTCGAAAGTGGGAGGGCACAGGCTGTTTAAGGAGGCATATGAAGAGTTGTCTTGAGCGTCCTCCAGAAATTCGTATTTAAGTTGATTTGAGACAATTTGTGTTATTTTGAAATTATTAGACTTATTTAAGCTTAATGTTTTAGTTTGTTAGAGAAGTTAATTTGAACTATTATTATGCAATGAAAATATGAAATAAAACCCTTTGAAGTTTGATCCTTACATATCAAGTTATCAACACTCTAGTATAGGTTATATTTTTTACATGTTCATTGTATTATCTTAAATTTGTAATGAATTTTCCAAGTATAAGGCTTTTAAAACCTTTGAAATTTATTCAAACATTCTTTTTATACGTTAGTTTTTAGTGTTTTACATTTTTACTTTATCTTTATATAAATTACGATTGTTATAAAAATACAAAAAAAAATTAAATAAATCTGGCCCGTCCCATTAGGTCCGGAACCGTTCCGGTTCAATTTAGTACCGGGAAAGCCCAGAATCGGTAAACCCGATAAAAAATAATAGATAACCAGACCGGTACCAAAACCGATCGATTCCCTTTTCCTCTACCCGACCGGCCCGGCCCGACCACTTGACACTTTTAATTTCAAGCATAGAAACAGATTAACCAAAGCAGAAGTGCAGACTGTTTACAACATTACCGTTGGCTAATAAGCCCCATTTAGCTAGACAATAGGATTGGATATTTCTTCTGTACCATCTTTTGGAGCCACAAGTAGTGATGGCAAAATAGATAACAAAAATATTTATCTATTCATATTATTCACTAAAAAGATTGAATAATAAACATTAAAAAAATAGGTCAAATATGGATAATAACCATATTATCCGCTTAAAAATAGATAACCAATTTGTTTAACTTTTATATTTGCAAAGACTTAAATGGGGGCTTTTTCAAGTTTGGAATACTAGGAATTCTTCCAAAAGTGATAATATTGAAGAAGTAATGGATAACACGGGTATCCATATTATCTATCGGTTAACCCGTTTTCTATCCTTATTAACTATGGGTCGGGTCAGATATTTTATTCGTTTCTGCATTATCCGTTTTTAATCCGGCCATTGTAGGGTCCATCCCTACAAATGAAAAGAAGAAAATGAAGGAAAAGTGTTAGATTCATTATGACTTATTTGATTTGCAAATATGCAAATTGTCAAATATGGTAGGCACTCAACACTATAAAAGGAGAGTTCCGGCTCTCATTTCTACACACCAACAGAGAGAGAGAAAGAAAGAGTGGGGCATCACAGACAGAGTAAAAGAAAATAGTCTGTGAGAAAAATAGAGAGTGAGCGATAATATAGTGAGGTGAGAATATCAAAAGAAGGTTATTTCTTTTGAGTGTTGTAGTGGTCTTTAGAGCATTTTACTCGGACCTACAAAGTGTAAAATTTCTTGTTATAGTGATATTAGTTGCTCCTCTCGAGGCCGTGATTTTTCCCTGATTCAAAAGGGTTTTGTACGTAAAAATTTTGAAGTCGTTGTCACTCTTTTATTCTTGTTAATTATCGTATCTCGGTGCTACATTATTATTCCGATTTTATTATCGTGAATATTATTTCTGTGGGGGGGTTTATTCCCAACAACTGGTATCAGAGCACTGGTTCTGCTCGTTCGCATAAGTACTATTCACTGACGGTAATACTATACTCGGTGATAAAAAAAATGTAAGGAGTAAAGTACGAGGTAGCAAGATTTAACGGAGATAGCGGTTTTTCAACATGACAAAGAAGGATGAGGGATCTTCAAATCCAACAAGGATTACACAAGGTACTAGATATTGATGCCAAAAAGCTTGATACCATGAAAGATGATGATTGGGTTGACTTGGATGAAAGGGCTGCTAGTGCAATCCGGTTGCACTTATCAGATGATGTGGCAAATAACATCATTGATGAAGACATAGTATGTGTCATTTGGACAAGGTTGGAAAGCCTATACATGTCCAAAATGCTAACAAATAAATTGTACCTGAAGAAGCAGCTATACGCCCTACACATGGGTGAAGGTACGAAATTTTTGTCACATTTAAATGTGTTTAATGGACTAATCACATAGCCATCTTGCTATTGAACTCATTGCCATCTTCATACGATAATTTGGCAACAATCATCCTGCACGGTAAGACTACCATTGAGTTGAAAGATGTCACGCCGGCTCTTCTACTCAATGAGAAGATGAGAAAAAAGCCTGAAAATTAAGGACATGCTCTCATCACAGAAGGTAGAGGCAGGAGTTATCAAAGGATCTCGAGCAACTATGGTATATCTGGAGCTCGTGGGAAGTCTAAGAACCGATCCAAATTAAAAGCCAGAAATTGCTACAATTGTGATCAACCAGGTCACTTCAAAAGAGATTGCCCAAATCCAAGGAAGGGCAAAGGTGAAACCAGTGGCAAGAAGAATGACGACAACATAACCGCTATGGTGAAAAACAATGATAATGTTATTCTTTTCATAAATGAGGAAGAAGAATGCATGCACTTGGCAGATCTAGAGTCGGAATGGGTGGTTGACACAACAACATCTTACCATGCCACACCGGCAAGAGATATTTTTTTGCAGATATATAGCAGGTGATTTCGGCACAGTGGAAATGGGTAACACAAGTTACTCAAAGATTGCGGGGACCGGTGATATTTGTATCAAGAAACAATGCCGGATGCATATTGGTTCTAAAGGACGTGCGGCATGTACCTGATTTGCGGATGAACTTGATCTCGAAAATTTCTTTAGACCGAGATAGATACGAGAACTATTTTGCAAATCAAAAGTGGAGACTCACCAAGTGATCATTGGTGATTGCAAAGTGAGTTGCCCGTGGCACATTGTACAAGACAAATGCAAAAATATGCCAATGTGAATTGAACGTGGCACAAGATGAGATTTCTGCAGATTTGTGGCACAAAAAAATGGGTCATAAGAGCGAGAAAGGATTGCAGATTCTTGCCAAAAAATCACTCATTTCTTATGCCAAAGGTACAATGGTAAAACCTTGTGACTATTGTTTATTTGGTAAGCAACATAGAATCTCATTTCAGATATTGTCTGAAAGAAAATTGAATATACTTGATTTGGTATATTCTGATGTTTGTGGTCCAATGGAAATTGAATCAATGGGCGATAACAAATATTTTGTTACTTTTATTGATCATGCTTCACGAAAATTGTGGGTTTATATTTTGAAAACCAAAGATCAGGTGTTTTAAGTTTTTCAGAAGTTTCATGCTCTGGTGGAAAGGGAGACATGCCAAAAGCTAAGGCGTCTCCGAAGTGACAATAGAGGTGGGTACATTTCAAGGGAATTTGAAGAGTACTGTTTGAACCATGGGATTAGACATGAAAAGACAGTTCCTGGAGCCTCACAACACAATGGTGTAGCTGAGAGAATGAACTGCACCATTGTTGAGAAGGTGAGAAGCATCCTCAGAATGGATAAACTGCCTAAGTCATTCTGGGTGAAGCAGTTCAGACAGCCTGTTACCTGATCAATAGGAGTCCATCAGTTTCATTGGAGTTTGACATCCTAGAGAGAGTTTAGACCAACAAGGAGGTGTCCTACTCACATCTAAAGGTGTTCGGTTGCAGAGCTTTTGCACATGTACCAAAAGAGCAGAGAACAAAGCTGGATGATAAATCTGTTCTGTGCATATTCATCAGATATAGAGATGAAGAGTTTGGGTACAGATTGTGGGATCCTATAAAGAAGAAGGTCATTAGAAGCATATATGGAATTGTAAAGCCCCGTAAAAATTTCACTAGAACCAAAGGTTTCGTGGTGCGGATGTGGGTTTATGTGTTTGAGGTTTGTAGAAGCAGTACAGACGTTGGGTTGTACAGTGCGTCGGAGAGTTGGAGGAATAATTTTGCAGAAAATTTCATTTATGCGATCGGCTATACGACCGCAGAACCATTATGTGGGCCGCAGATTGACCGCAGAGTGAAACAGAGAAATGAACCGATTTTGAAGGTTGTTTTGCGGTCAGTTATGCGATCACATAAGCATTTCGCGGGCCGCACATACGTCGCAGAACCAGTAATATAACTTTCAGAAAGGGGGTTTTGCGCTCCATTATGCGACCGCATAATTGAACTGCAGACCGTAGATGTGTCGCATACCTACACAGAAGTTCCCACTATGTGGTCCATTTTGTGAACCGCAAAAGTGTTATGCGATCGCATATCAGGGCTTTCATTTTTGAGGGGTTATCTAATACTTTAGAGAGAGAAGAGAGTTATTCTAGAGAGAGAAAGGAGAGGATTCAAGGATTTCACTACTCAACTTGGATCAAGCCTTGGAGCTTCATCAAGAGAAACTTGCTAGGATTTCAAAAATGTAAGAATTTCTTCCCCCAATTCTCCAATTTCGAATTTGGGTAAAAGATGATTAATGGGGAGTGTGATTCTTGGGTGTGAGAGTATTATTTGTACATGCATGTACCCAAAGGTTTGTGAGAAGATTGTTGAGCTCAAATGGATAATGATTTAGTTGTGGGATAAAGGAATCCACCATAGAAGAACCTTGAAATCATGATCCACACCTAGTGTTTGATAAAATGCTCAAATGATCTGAAACTATGAATATCTTCCTAATTTTTGTTCAATTTTGTTATGTATAAAACTAGATTGGGATTGCTAAACATTGTAGTAATTTAACGTAACTCAAACGAGGTATGTTGCTAAACTTCTCTCTTAGAATTGAATCCCACAATGTTCTTGTATATCCCGAGTTATTCATTATAAAATGGTTATTCCGAATAAGCTTGGTGTCGAAATATATATATATATATATATATATTATGTTATTCTTCTGGAACGTGTTCAAAGCATGAGTTATGTATTAAAATGTTATGACTTCAAGTCGTGTTTCAAGTTAAAGTTATTATACCAAATTGTGTAAGAAATATCTATGTGCATAAGACTCTTAATTGCTCACATGTGTATTTAAAGTCTTGATTTGAAAAGCTTTGTTGTTGATGATCCATGATGATGGTTGAAAGCGAAAGAGGTGAGCATAAAATATGAAATACGGCAGACGTGCCAAGAATGATATTATATTTGTGGCCACTAGTGCCAATGAAATAAAAAGAGGTGAAAAGATTATGAAATAAGTTGAAAGCCTTTTTATTTTTATTTTTATAATAAATATTTTAGGAGTATCGATAGTCACCGAGGAAGGGTAGGTTGAAATAACCTAATCTCGAAACTACACGTGCCAGTGTAGGAGTGCATTGTGATTATTTTCCCTTATTTGGGATGAGATTGATATGATAAAATTATTCCACTTAATTGGGATGAGATGATTGATATAAAAAGATGATGTCGATCCACACAGTATTGTGGTGAGACGGCCTAGCCGATCAGGTCGTGATCGGACGTCATGCCGCACACATGGTGGTTATTGTGTTGTAAATTATAATTGAAATTGTGAATACACCTCCACCCGTACACATTGGGGTGAGGCGGCAAGCCCGCTTTATGTAGAGATTGCGATATTGTGAATACACCTCTACCCGCACATATTGGGGTGAGGCTTTGTGTAGAGATTGTGATTGTGGTTGATGTCTTTAGATGAGACGACCTAGACGATTGTGCCGTGATCGGACTCCGTACTAAATCACGGTGATATATCGATGCTAAAGATCTCCCAACCTAATATAATGAAATTTACTTGAAAGTTTATCTTGCTCCTAACTTGATGTTTTGGTATTACTTGAGGCTCTCATTGATCCTATTGATTGTTCTCCCTTGTGTTGTTACCCGTTCTATTGAGAGGGTGTTTAGTCATACATACTAGTACTATTTCATATGTACTAACGTCTCTTTTTTCGGGGCGCTGCATCTTTAATGGATGCAGGTGGTTCCACAGTAGGTGCCATTGATCAGTGATAGCGGTACACTCTCTTCCCAGCTGACTTGGTGAGCCCTACTTCATTTCTGGGTCATGTATCTTTTGTTCCTCGTGTATTATGTTGGAGGTATAGACGGGGCCTTGTTGTCGGTACTATCATTGTACTCTTTTGTATCTATTAGTGGCTCTGTAGACATATTGTGGGTTGTGTATTGGTGCTGGAAAAGTCAAACTAGTAATGTTGTACTTGAATCACTTGTTACACTTCAAACTATGAAAGTGTATATAATTTGAGACTTTAAAATGAAGTAACTAATGGTAATGAATTGGTGTTGTATACATGATCTAGCCTCATTGTTTGATTAACGAAGTATATCTTCCCTTTATTCATGAGCGAGTTTGGGTAGAAGGAAATCTAGTAGGCTTGCTTGGCCGGATTATCTCGGTTGAGTGCCGGTCACTCTCCCCGAGGTCGGGGCATGACAATAATCTTGCGAGAAAGTGAAGTTGAAGTTGTAGATGATCAGTTAGAGAAGGCCAAGAATGGTATAATCACTAACCTTGTTACCATTCCTTCTACTTCTAACAATCTCACAAGTGAAGAAAGTAGGACCGACAAGGTTACCGAGTAGGACGAGCAACCTGGTGAGATTATTGAGCAGGGGGGAAACTTGATGATGATGTCGAGCAAGTGGAGTACCCCACTCGAGAAGAAGAACAACCTCAACCTCTGAGGAGATCAGAGAGGCCAAGGGTAAAGTCATGCAGGTACCCAACCACAAAGTATGTCCTCATCAATGATGGGGGGAGCCAGAAAACCTTAAGAAGGTGTTGTCCCATCCAGAAAAGAACCAGTGGATAAAAGTCATGAAAGAAGAAATGAAATCTCTGTAGAAAAATAGCACGTACAAGCTGGTTGAACTTCCTAAGGGTAAAAGACCACTCAAATGCAAATGGGTCTTTAAACTCGAGAAAGATGGAAATGGCTAGTTGGTCAGATACAAAGCTCGATTAGTGGTAAAAGGCTTCGAACAGAAGAAAGGTATTGATTTTGATGAAATTTTCTCACATGCTATCAAAATGACTTCTATTCGAACAATTTTGAGTATAACAACTAGCCTAGATCTTGAAGTGGAGCAGTTGGTTGTGAAAACTACATTTCTTCATGGAGATTTGGAAGAGGAGATTTATATGGAACAGCTAGAAGGATTTGAAGTAGCTGGAAAGGAAACACATGGTGTGCAAACTGAATAAGAGTCTTTATGGGTTGAAACAGGCACCAAGGGAGTGGTACAAGAAGTTTGACTCATTCATGAAAATTAAAACTTACATAAAGACATTCTGATCCATGTGTATACTTCAAAAGATTTTCTGATAACAATTTTATTATTATTTTGTTGTTGTATGTGGATGACATGTTAATTGTAGGAAAAGACAAGGAGTTGATCGCAAAGTTGAAGAGAGATTTGTCCAAGTCATTTGATAGGAAGGACTTGGGCCCAACACAACAAATTCTGGGTATGAAGATATTTCGAGAGCGAACAAGCAAAAATTTGTGGCCGTCTCAAGAGAAATACATTGAACGTGTACTGGAACGCTTCAACATGAAGAATGCTAAGCCAGTTAGCACGCCTCTTGCTAGTCTTCTAAAGTTAAGCAAGAAGATGTGTCTTACAATAATGGAGGAAAAGGAGAGCATGACCAAAGTTCCTTATTCCTCTGTCTTTGGAAGTTTGATGTATTCAATGGTATGCACTAGACCTGATATTTCTCACGCAATTGGTGTTGTCAGCATGTTTCTTGAAAATCCTAGAAAAGAATACTCGGAAGCAGTCAAGTGGATACTCAGGTACCTGAGAGGTACCGCAGAAGACTATTTGTGCATTGGAAGATCTAATGCAATCTTGAAGGGCTATACAAATGCTGATATGACAGGTGACATTGATAATAGAAAATCCACTACTAGATATTTGTTTACATTTTCAAGGGGAGCTATATCATGGAAGTCGAGGTTGCAGAAGTGTATCACACTCTCTACAACTGAAGCGGAGTATATTGCCGCTACTGAAGCTGGCAAGGAGATGATATGGTTGAAACGGTTCCTTCAAGAGCTTGGATTGCATCAGAAGGAGTATGTCGGCTCTCATGTCGTTGTCACTCTTTTATTCTCGTTAATTACCGTATCTCGGTGCTACGTTATTATTTTATTTTTATTACCGCGAATATTATTTTTGTGGGGAAGTTTATTCTCAACAACCATAACCGACTCGCCCATCCTGTTTGTCACTCCTAGCCACAAGCATTACTGCAGTACCCCTGCAGACTATTACGCCAAGACCTTGTGTCCGGTCGGTAGTCTTCAGGGAATTATCGGAATATCTAACACTACTAAAAATCACATGTTTACCGACGCAAATTACCAAGGAACGTCCCTCTGTAACAAGGCTTTACAGAAGGAAGTCCGTCGGTAAGTGGTACGTAGTTAAATATTTTCTCGGTAAAAGTGACCGATGGACCACATCGGAAAGCCATCGGTACCTTTCTGATACTATTTGGTCAAATAATTTTAATTACCGACGGACATCCGTCGGTATATTATAAAATAATATAATATCAATAATCTCAATACCGACGGCTGCCCGTCGGTAAATTAAAAATAATAATTTATTATTACCGATAGATACCATCAGTATATTTATAATTTTAATTTAGTAATTTAAAAAATTAAAAATATGAATAAATTGATATTCCGATGGATATCCGTCGGTATGTTCAACAAAATTTGAAAATTTGTTTTAAGTCTACCGACGGACTCCCTCGGTAAGTATGAATTCTGGATTGACAAATAAACAATTTTTTCGACAGATTTTATCGGTAAGTCCCTCGGTAAATTTGGTATATTTTTGACATGCAGTGCTTATTTTTTATTGCACCACCTGCCAGCCAGAATATTACAATAGAAACAGAAATGCAACCACAATAAAACACAAATTAATAATAATAAAACTTAATAAACTATCCAAACATCCAAATTATCCCATCAAACATCAAAACTATCCCAACCAAACTTCAAAATGTAATATTCAAAGTAAACGTCCAACTAAACAACAATCCAACCAAACATAAAATCACTGCTCATCTTCGGATTCCCCCTCATCTCTTCATCATTTATATTGTTTCCATCACTTTCATCCTCTTCATAAGTGTGGCTTTTTGGCGGAGAGCGGGGCAAGCCGATTATAAGTGGTTCACTTGAGCCTTGAGGGACTCGATGTCATTCTTAAGTGCGGTCCTAATCTTCTCTCCATGCTTTATTTTTTCTCGTACATGCGCATAGTTCCTAGAAAGTTGTTGAATCGTTAGCCACTTGGTTGGATTTTTTTTTGTTATACAAATTCTGTCTCATTTCTTTGGCCACTTTTTAAAAAAATCTTTTTACAGGTCCAAAACTTGTGCTGCTACTTCAAATGTCTAGTTTTATTCTTTATATGAACAATTTGCAACAGGGCAATACTCAAAAATACATTAGAATCTTCTCCTCTTCAATGCATACCCCTAAACAGTGTTTCTGGTTTATGGCCTTTCCTCAAAAGAAGAAACAACCTTTTCTCTAAGCTTAATATGCTTGAAAATATATTGTTTTGTTCTCTTAAATTGCACCCAAAAAGACTGAAAAAACTATCCAGGGTGTAAAGTTGACATCACTCTTTAAAACAAGTTTAAGTTCACCTACATTCTCAGCTTGCTTATTGCTAAAAAAATAAATATTCATTCAGACAAGCAATTAAAAATAGTGCACCATTAGCCAAGTAATGAATATAACAACAGATAATTATGACTTCTCCAAAGAAAATGCAAACAAAGATAAGAGAGAAACTCGTGCAGTTGTTCAATGGGAGGAGTCAATTTTTACTCTATTCATTCTTATTATAAGATTAATAAAAAAGAGATTCAAATAGTTCCTTTGTCATACAGCTTGAGAATCAAACTCCTTTTCTATAGAATGGTTAGTACAGTGTACTATGGCTTATAGACTTTTCCGCAACTATGCACTTTATATAGTAAAACATTTGCTTCATATATGTTCTCAAACATTAGTGAAACGCAGGTAATCTTTGCCAGAAGGAAGATTGGCAGTGTCATATCCCCCAAAACAGCCCACGAAACACAGCTAACAAAAAGAAGAGCTTATTAACAAAAAAGTATATACCTTGTAGTCCACACTCGAGGCGATGATAGTTGCGCTCGGAGGAAAGGTCGTATGCCATCTACATAATAAGAATGTTAAAAAAATAAGTTAGTAAAAAATATTGATTTAAAGTATAAAAATAAATAGTGTTAAATATTGTCACCCTCATTGTACATTCCAAAAAGCATTCATAACCATTTCATGTAATCTAGGATCTTGACTACTTTCACCAATATCCAAATTATGATTGTAAATATTACTATCACTACCCTCAGTCTCTCCATGACTAGTCCACGCATAGCAATTATCCATAAAGCCCTTACTATATAGATCAGTCTTTAACATCCTTTAGTTTCAACCACTTCCTACACTTGCATTTCGCACAAGTGTACCTAATCATCTCATTATTTTGGCTAAATGACTTGGCATGATTAATAAACTCATCAACACCTTGTACAAATTCATCTCTTAAACCCCACCGATTAGGAAGATTCCTATCGTACATCCATATACGATGTTCCATCTACATATACAAACAACAAATTTATTATTCTTACTCATTTAATATTATAACAATTACAACATAAAACATAAATTTGAATGGATTCTACCCTATTTTAATCATGAACACAAACTCCTATACGAGACAAATCATGTCCAAGAATTATATCAATAGCGTAGGCCATTTGATTTTCTAAAAACCCCACGTGCCTTTAAATAAAGCTTCTCTCTTATTTACTTTCTACGAAATAATAACACAAGGAAATTCACAGTCATACGTATCTTCAACAAAAAATGTCCATTGAAAAAAGGCTTTTACTGCAGAATCTTTTCTTCATTATGTAATATATGACTACTTTTTTCAGTCAATGAGAGGTGCATCACATGAATGATTAATAAGTATATCAGTGGAGAGGGAGTGAGAGGAAGAGAGAATAGTTGGGTACCTCAAATAATGTTAGATCACTACCGTCAGTTATATTCCATACAATTCCAGTAGCCCTCTCAATGCCAATGTCTAGTAAAGGAGATTGAATGGCGTTCAATGCTGCATCTCTGGCTCTGGTCTTTCCTGTAACGTCAACGAACAATATCATTTCTCTTCTTGAGTAGTTAGTACCAGTATCAAAAGATCAATCCATATAAAAAATATATCTTGCTAGCAGAAATAGCCTCACTACTAAATACAACTATTTGGGAGATACAGAAAACGCGTATAGCTTCAACTTTCCGCAAGAGGAAAACCAGAAGTAAGAAAGTTTCCAGCAAGAAATGGACCATCAATCACTATTATTAGCGAGCTATGCTTAAAAACAAACAGAAAGAAAGCTTAAATCTGCACCAAATAGCATCCAATAATATGAGGAAACTCGTAGAAATATGTCAGATGTGTTCAGTTCCAATAACTTTTATTTTTCCGTTTCCCTAACGGGAACATCACTAGATGAAAATCTAAAATTGGGACGAAAATCCAAAATGCAACCATTGAAAGAAGCAGCAACAACCTAAACAAAATTGGGACGAAAATCTAAAAGAAGCAGCAACAATCGAAACGAAATTGGGAGATAAAAGAAAAATTACTTGTCCCTCGGGCTGGTCGTCGCTGGGGAGCGGAGGAAGAGAGAGACAATGGCTGGTCGGAAGGAGAAACAGAGAGACGATGGTTGAGGGTTGGTCTCCGTTTAGAGGGAGGAGAAGAGAAAGAAGAGGGAGAAAAGAAAATTTGATTAAGGTTGGGGTTTCTTTATTGTATTTCTGCTAATTGTCCAATGTGCAGGTTTTATTCAAGCTAATATATCAGTTACTTATAAGTATTGTTATATAAAATATCAAATTGACAATTAATTAAATTCTAACTAACAAATTACTATGAATCAATGAAAATAAAACTAATATTTTACAAAAACCTAACATATAATTGTATAATATAATTCTGCTTAGTGTAATATTTCACAAAAAATTCATTAATATAATTCTCAAATTTAGTTTGTGTAATTTTCAATGAATTAGCTAATTAATTATTAATATTAATTAACGACGCCACTAATATATTTCTACTTACTTTAGTTATCAATTTAAGATAATTAAATAATCGCTAAGATTTACCATTAATAAACTTCTACTTATTGTATAATTAACAATGTATAGGCTAGTAAATCACTAACATTACTTAAGGATATATCCTTAGTATATATACTTCTACTTAGTGTAATTATCAATATCTATAAACTAATTGTAACTATTACACTTCTATACTTAATGTAATTATCAATGAATTACCTAATAAAATTATTAATATTAATTAACGATACTGATAATATACTTTTTTACTTATTTTAGTTGTCAATTTAAGATAATTAAACAATCACCAACATTTGTCATGTATACCATTAATAAACTTCTACCTAATGTGTAACATTACTTAAGGATATATTCTTAGTACACTTCTACTTAGTGTAATTATCAATCTATAAGCTAATTATAACTATTACACTTCTACTTAGTGTAATTATCAATCTATAAGCTAATTATAACTATTACACTTCTACTTAGTGTAATTACCAATATACATGCTAATCAATTTTTAACATTACTTAACGATACCACTAATAAACATCTACTTACTTTAATTATAAAACTAAAGATAAACAATCACAAACATTTCTCACAAATAGCATTAATACACTTCCATTTAGTGTATAATTATCAATGTATATGCTAATCAATCACTAATATTACTTATATAAGGTTGCCACTAATTCACCAATACTTAGTACTATTATCAATGTATATAGGCTAATCAATCAACAACTCTACTTACAGATATATTATTAATACACTTATACTTCGTGTAATTATCAATCTACAAGCTAAATACAACTAATACACTTTTGCTTAGTATATTATCAATGTGTATGATAATCAATTGTTAACGTTACTTAAGGACATCATTAATACACTTCTACTTACAGTAATTATCAATTTATAAGATAAACCATCACTAATATTTCTTACGGAAACGACTAATACACTTCTTCTTAGTATGTAATTATTAATGTATAGGTTAATCAATGCAGTTAATGATACTACAAATTCACTTTTACTTTGTGTAATTATAAATTACTAAGCTAATTACCACGAATATATTTTTAACTAGTGTAATTACTATGAATACAGTTCCACTTAGTGTAAATTTCAATAAATAGGCTAATCAACTACTAAGATAATTAAGTAAATACTTACCGAGGGACTTACCGACAACCTCCCTCGCTATTGTGCAATAAAAAATACAAAAATTTATGTAAAAGATTATATATTTAAATTACCGACGGAAGTCCATCGGTATTGTAAGAACAAAATTCAAAATATTACGTAAATGCAATAGTGATTGAGTACGTTGATAACTTTATTTTCTTTTTTATTTATTTTTTTTAAATGCACCGAGAGACACCGTCGGAACCTAAAAAAATAATTCAAAAATATAAATAGAAAATGTTGCGAGAGAGTCTGTTGGTAAATTACCGACGGAGTGCATCGGTACAATCAATTAAATTTTGACCGGTCAAAGTATCATTATTTACCGAGAGTTGTCCGTCGGTTATTTTTTAAAAAAATTAGAAATTAAAAAGTTCAAAAATACCGAGGGACTCTGACGGAAAGTCCCTCGGAATAGCGACGGAAAAAAGTCCGTTGGTACTGTTGCGTCAGTAAACAAGTGTTTTTTAGTAGTGATAATGTGCCCAACACAAGATTTAGCAGCTGATCATATCATCATAGCCTTTAGGTGTTCCTTCTATTTGTCTTCCACCAGTAAGCTCCACTTGCACAACCTTGTCAACAAGTTTTGCCAAATCTGAAACTTCTGTTTCTTTTCTTCTGCTAGAAAATTTTCTAGTAGACCCTTTTCCAAACGTATCTCCGTCACTAATTAAGAATGCAATGTACCTTCATTATTCATTGTACTAATTTAAAACTTTAACAAACAAATCAAAATAAAACAAGTTTTATTGGTGATGAAAATAATGATGTTGGTGTGATCACAAACAATCTTTTGCATGGGACACATTGTTTCATGGCTTAGAGGGGAAAATGACGGGATTTCGCATTATTTTGTGCATCATAAGAAGAGGCGCTTCTTGTTCTCATTCAATTCAATGATGTTAGGTCTTTGTCTATCAATAATTTATGGTATATTCAGATTATTTTTTCATCCTCAAATATTGATCAATAAGTACGACCATTTTGTGGGGCAAACAGCACTTAAAATATTTATGTTCAATAGGTAGTTGGAGAATACAAAATCGTTTCTTTTTGCACATTCCCCTCTATTATCAATGGCAATATTTGCAAATATATGGTTCAAGTGTCTACCTACAATTTTTTTTTGGTACAGCACTTCATTTTCAAGTTTTTGGATTATAAGAAGGTGGGTTATAGATAAGATCTTTAGTGTTACTTAGATATCCCTAAAAGTTTTAAATAAAAGTTTACTCATGTAAGATAAGACAGTACAAGATAAAACAAGGATGAGATTAATGGACAAATAAGTAATCTATTTCCTCCTGATTAATGGAGTTTATCTAAACCATGTATTCTCGGTACTCACAATACTGAGTTACTCTCTCTGTCTCAAATTAGTTTTATAGTTTTGCTTTTCTATAGTCAAATCATGTCAACTTTGACCAACATTTTAAAATATTTTTTTTTATTGATAAGAGAATAATTATAACTTGCACGTGTACTTTTGATATATTATTAACTATCTAAATTTTAATTGTAAAATATTAATTTGATCTGATCTAATTTAACTTTATAGAGAAGTCAAATTGACTATCGAAACTTCAAAGCGAAATATGACAATAATATAGAAGGAAGAAAGTATAAAGTTTCTTGTTTTAGCAAATAAATACGGTCTTAAGCTTATTTAAATACCCACTTTAGCAACTTATATATCTCTTCTTCTTGTTGTTGATTTATTTCCTTGCATTTTCACACACTCAAACAAGTATGATCAATAGTTTTCTGCAGTTCAAATATTAAGAAAAAAAATATTCCATGCAACATCATATCAAGGCTGTTAATTAATTTGATTTAACTAAAAAATAAATTTTGATGTCTAGAAAAGAGAGCGTCAAACACAATTTCATTTCACAGAAATCATTTTTTATTATCAGAAGATTGAATTAAAAAAATTTCTCATTAAGCAGACATAACTGGAAAAATAAAATTAACTCCTATGTTTTAGAAAACCTGCCAAAAGTTGATGTAATTTAATTAACCAAGCATTTACCAAGATGTAAATTGTAAGATTTGATGCTTGGGACACAAGTTATTTTACCCTAGCTAACGAGCTCAAAGTAATTTTAACCACAAACCACGGAATTACCAATTCCAGAACTTCAAACGACGTCGTGGCTACTTCCGTCCCGTAGGTAAGAATTGCCCCCATTTCATTATCAACCCCTAATTTCCTGTAAAATCTTCTCGTCATTCTCACGGGGCACGCGGAAATTCGGGTCGAAACCAGGGGCAATTGTGGAATAAATATTGCTATATTAAGGGCGCCAGTGCTAAACGTTTGGTTTCTCAGACGAAAAAGATCTGAGCGAAGCAGAGGCAAAAGTTTCCGTTATCCGTTTCTCTTTCACTCACCACAAGCTTTCTTTCTCCCTCCGTATCTATCTATCTATCTATCGCTTTCTCTCTCTAAATTCTTGAGATATTCATCTCACAATTTTAGGGTTTTTGATCCCCTTCGAATCAATTACTGATTTGACTCATCAACAATGGGTTCCGATTCAATCCTCAACGGTTCGATCCCTATTACTTCCTCTAACCCCAAAGATTTTGCCAAGAAAAAAAGGGTAACTATATCTGTTTTTAGTTTCTACCTATTCATTTACGTTTTCAATATTTTTTTAGTGATTGAGTTGTATTTCTGCGTAATTTCAGGCTAATCGGTCGGCTAAGTTGAAGCAGTGCAAGCTTGATGCTCGACGCGAGCAGTGGCTTTCACAAGGTTGCATAATATCTCCTTTTTTCATATATAATTTTGCATGTATTTGTGATCTTCCTTTTGCTGAATTTTCCATTTGCATCTTTTATGGATTTAAGCAATAAACACTGTAAAGTAAAGGTTTTTTTTAGAATATCGGTGAACTTTAACTTGTATTAGCAGATTGGTTACCATTTGTATTAGATTACTATTCAGTGCTTTTCAAGAGATTTACCTGTAATACCTAACAAGTGACCGATTTTGTGATACCGTCATTGTTGGATTTTGCATTTGTTGCTGCTGATATTTGATTTACCAGAATAATAAGTAGTTTAGTCGAAGGAGGAGCCTTTGTTTAAATTAAAATTTAATAGGATAAGTTAGTTGAGATAGTTTAGGTTTTTGAATTTGAATATTTATTCTCCTGAATTTCTGCAGATTCTGTTTTAAATTGGCTATTTAAAGCCTTGTTATGCTTAATAAAATTATTGATAGACATTTTCAATCAATACTTTTAATTTTTTTGCTGTCCCATCATTTTAAAGAACCCAACAGTGGTATCAAGAGCTTCATTGGTCTTGCGGAATCTGTGAGTTCCTCCAAAGAACCATTTTCAAATCATTTTTAACCAATATCAATTTTTAAACCCATTTTCAAACATGGCAAGCAACAGTCTCTCTTTGAATGCCCCGCAAACTTTAACTGGCGAAAACTATCGGATTTGCTCAGTGAAAATAAAATCATATCTTAATACCTA